TATATATATTTGCTTGAATTGACAGGTCGGTTAATATATATCATGATATCTTTTAATGCACATATAAGAGTCACTTAACAATCTTACTTAAATCTAATTTAAAAGTATAATGAATGATCATCGTTACATTGACTTCAGATCTGCAACGATTTGAACTTGATACGATACTACCATACTTTAGATGGACAATCAATCTCATTAAATATTTAGATCCATTGTTAATCGAACAATAACAATTTATTAAATCTCTAAATTAGATAAAACTCTCCAAATCTCCAATGATAAAAGTGTAGTAGTCAACCAATGAAGATTCAAACACCAAAGAAGATTCAATGTACATTATGGTATTAATTTCTTTGGAGAAATGATGAAACCATGGGAGCCATCGCAAGCAAAATTTGATTATGCATTTGACCGGCCATCATAGTTGTTTTGTAGCATTTGTCAGTTGGACTAAGTATGATTCAGCAGGCGCGGGAATAAAACAAAACAGCCGGAAGCAACTTGATTAATAATGTATAAAAGACAAAAGACAAACAAAAAAGTATAATTTTTTTATTTTTTAATGTTAAGTTACGATTTTTTAAGATAGGGCACGATCAACCAAAATGTTGTAATTGATTATAAAAATTACGATTTTTAAAGGACAAGTTATAGCTACTTGAGAAAGAGTAATGCTAGGGGTTCGTTTGTTTAGTGACAGAATGGTAGAAAATACAAGAAAGAGTAATTTTTGAAAATTTTCATGTGTTTGGTTAGCATGAAAAAGAAAATGATAGAAAAAATAAATTTTTTTCATCCTTGAATTTTTTCACAAATAATCAACTCNTTAAAAATTTTCATGTGTTTGGTTAGCATGAAAAAGAAAATGATAGAAAAAATAATTTTTTTTCATCCTTGAATTTTTTCACAAATTATCAACTTTTTTTTCTTGTAAAAAACAAAAGAAAATGCAAGAAAGTTGTGATCTATAACTAACATCCGATTTTACCCTTAGTTTTCTTAAAATATTTTATTGATTATTAATTTAAAAAAAAAATTGGTTTGAATTTAATTAATCACATAATTTTGCCCAAAAACCTTTGTGTTGGTTATTGTTTTAGAATTAGGTTTTGATCCATTTTTTTAAAAAGTTTTAACTTTCAATTGTAATTACATATTTTTTTAAGATCGATTTAATATAATTAAGGGTAATTTAGATAATTATAAAAAAATTCTTATAACTTTACTTTCTTTCAAACAATAAAATGAAATTGTTTTAAATCTTTCTATAAATTTTTTTCATTCTAACCAAATACATGCATAAAAATATATTTTCTATCATTTTTTTTTTCACTTCACTTTCTATTATTTTTTTTCTTCCTAACCAAATGGACCCTAGATGAATTTAAAAAGTAAACTTAAAAACTAGACTTAATAAATATCAACTATTGAATAGGTAATGGGTCTCAATAAATGTTATGACTCACAGTAAAATCAATAGTTGTAATTATCAAGTTTAGTTTTTAAGTCTACTTTTTAAATCCATAAAGTATTGTTTCTTGAAAAAAATACCATAATTGGTTATGAATTTTTTTCAAATAATTATAATTTTATCTTAAAAAATGTATTTTAAATTTCAACACGGTAGCACAGTTAATGGAAAGTGTACAGCCCATGGCAATTGCACCCATAGACAAATTGCAGAAATGTTAGTTACATAACGAAAGAAACTTTTTGTGGTATACTTTTCTCCAGTCAATGTGTTTGTTAGCAAGCTGAAACCTTGAGAAAAACCATGTACACAGCCCACAGCTTTTCCCAGTAACTTTCCTGGAAAATGAGGAATTCTAATTTCACTTCTCCGAAAAAAAAATCAGCTTTTTATTTTGTCTATATTATACAACGATGTGGTAATAGAATAACACATTAATTAGCAAAAAATGCCAGTTTTATTTATAATTTTGATGTATGGAAGTGGAAAGAGACGGCACCTAATTTCGTAGTGTCTCTCCTCCGTACCTAATTTCTTAGTGTCTTTCCTTCGTTCAGATATTTGTTCTTAATAAAATTTTGATCGTTTCTTTTATTAAAAAAAAATCCTTTAGCTGCCTCATCTTAAGTACATTTTGACTGTTAGAATGATAAAGTACCTTTGAGGAATTATAGTCAAAAGATTAATAATTTCTAGCCCTAGAGCTTGCTAGGATTTATTTATTACCATCGATTGAAAATAATAAATTAAAATGGAATAGAGTGACAAAAACTTTATCTATTTCACTTGTTCCCTAGATTAAAAAAGCTATGCTATTAACGTTTCAGTTGTGTGTATACCAAAAAGGCTAGATTTATATATCGGGATTTAGATCTATTGCCATATATTTTTTTTCCTCAATTTTCTTGATGGTAAATCACTTATTGTAAATTGGCAAGAATTCTTCTAAAACAGGTGACTCTAGTTTTTGGGGCTGACTCTAGTTCAAAGGGGTTCCAAGTATTTCTACGGTAGACCATGGCATGCAGTGTGACACAAGCCCCCATCGCCTTCTTTACCTAACCCCTAAACAGCAAGGCACACGCAGTTTTTGGCTTTGCTTTAGGACTTCTTAGAGTGATGATCTCTACTCTGAAGCTGAAACACTCCATTAATGGATACAGAAAAGGACTAGAAGATAAGGTTATAACCGTGGAATGACTCGGTGATGCAAGTAATGACTTCATTTACGACTAGGACAATGGAGTGGGTGTTCTAATGAAGCAATGAAAACCATAATCTGCATGTCAACAATATTATCTGTTATTGTAAATCCCATAACTACATATATATAAATATTACATATTGTGTATTTGTCTGAGGTCGGATGAAAATGACGTATTAATACTGCTATGTCTCAATATGAGTTTCGGGTATTTAAAACACGAGGTAAAGAGTACAGTTTTTTGTGATTTTTACACATGATGATAAACAAAATAATATCATAAGATTAGGGAAGGCAGATCTAGCAGATCTCTTTTAGGTTTAAACTAGGGGTTGCACATCAATGAATAGCTGTATTAAAAATTTTAAAAAAAAATCCCCCCTTAAGAAGCTGTAGCTCAGCTGTCCCCAGCAGGTACAAAAAGTCAATGGAATCGTGCACCTCTGAACACCCCCCTCCCCAAAAAAAAAAAAAACAAACAAAAAGAAATGAAAAATCCCACCCCCAAGATTTCAAAATCATGATTTGTGCCTCTAGAACTTGTTTTTTTAAAGATATAATGTGTTACATTACGTTTTATAGAGGTGTCAATCGAACCAAATTTTGCGAGTTCAAGTCTGTAGAACTCATTTTTTAAACGAGTCTAAAATATTGTTTAAATTTGACTTGTTAAGAATTTGAGTCGAGCCTAAGTAGCTTGATTATTTTACATATTAACAAGTCAAACTTTACGAGTTTGAATTGAGCCTTTAAAACTCATTTTTCTGAATAGACCTTAAAAAATTGTTCAAAATTATCTTATTTAGAACACAAGTTGAGCTCGAACAGAGTCTTATCCAAGCCAAACTCAAGTAGTTTATCTCAATTAACACCCTTAACACACCCTTAACGCCATGGAGAGATTAGGAGGGGAGGAAAAGGGGCATGGGATTCAAACCGGCATCCTCCACTTCGCAAGTAGCTATCATTGTCATGTTAGATAGACCACTATACTCAATTCAACTCAACCCAACAAAATCCCCTTAAAACTACATTTTATATATTGCACTCTAACTTCTCCACACACCCCCCCCCCCAACCCC